TCCAATTTAGATTATGGCGTGTACGAATGTAGCAGCACGTGGTGGTCATTTAATTTGAATTAGCTGGACACGAATGTGATTGTATTAACTGTGATTGTTTTAAAATTATTTGCAGGTCAGATTTGTGCATTAAGGAAGGAAAAATAATGGAAGTAATCGCTTACGAATTTGTGAGAAGATATTTTTCTAACGATATGATAGACATGGTAAAATTTCTTTACGATTTATATGTGGAGAAAGCACGAAAAGTAATGGTGAGATGAAATTTAAAAATTTTTAATTAATTAGACGATGAATGCGTTGAATGATATAGAAGAGGAAATGAAAGTGGATATAGAAGAATCGAATTGGGCGAGCGAGGAGATAAAAGGTTTCGCTTTGAGAAAAATTAAATCCATAAAGAAGAATATTGGTTATCCGGATTGGTACAACAACGCGTCCATCATGGAAAATTATTTTGGCAATGTATGTCAGATTCTTTTATTGTTGGAAATTTTTAAAAAATTTTGAAGATTTATGATTTAATTTTCTTTGCTTGCAGCTTACTATGGGACCGACGTATTTCGAAAATGCTTTGAGATTTCAAAAATTTTATAAATTAAAGGAATTACGATTTTTGAAATATAAAGATTTAGCAAAATCGTAAATATCCTTATAATGGTTAACTATGATTAAAATTAAATCAAGATGCTTATTTTCTATTTTTATCTAGGTGGATTATTGATCCTTTGACGATCAATGCTTTTTATTTAAGCGAATCGAATTCGATCAGTAAGTACCATTCAATTTTCATAATTTATATATATGATATGATTAAACTATAAGATTTTTATTTTTATAATTATACAGCAGTACCTCTGGCCAATCTACAGAAACCATTTTTCAGCAAGAATCAGCCAAAGTAAGTAAAAAGTAAAAATCTATTAAAATTATTAATTACTATTTCATGGGATTATTAATCGTTTAATTGCAATACTTTTTCTCCAGTACGATCAACTATGCATTGACTGGATTTTTACTGGCTCATGAATTATATCATTCCTTTGATGAATTAAGTGAGTAATTTTTCATTAAATTTCTTGTTTAATACCTTATTACATGGAAAATATTTTTTAGAACGTTTTTTTAATGAACATGGAAAAAAGATAAATTGGCCAAAAACAATGACAAACGAATATTATAAAAGTGCTCAATGTTTTGTCGATCAGTATAATAATTATACTTTGAATGGCACATCTTCTGGCATAAAAATTAACGTAATATTTTATATTCCATCGATAAGAGATTTTTAAAGGGCTATTATTGACACGTTAATTATCTAATAGAATTATGGCAATCAAACTTTTGATGAAAATATGCCAGACACTATGGGATTGAGAACTGCATATAAAGCGTATAAAAGAAGGGAAACGATAAATGGAAAATCAGAAGCAGCATTGCCTGGATTAGAAATGTTCAACAACGATCAAATTTTCTTCTTATCGTCTGCCAATGTACGTATTTCAATTAAAATAAAATTTTTCTATAAAATTGATTTCTATAATTTTAATAACTATAATATTTCACTTTTTATTTTATTTTATTTATCTTCTTTTTTTCTTTTTTCCTTAGTTATGGTGTGAAAATAGAAATTCCGAAACAGCAATAACGGAAGCTAAATTAGACGTGCACAGTATTGCACGATTAAGATCCATTGGCGCTCTTTCAAACAATCAAGATTTTACAGATGCATTTTCGTGCCCCATTGGTAGTCCTATGAATCGTAAAAAGAAGTGCAACATTTGGAAAATATAATAAAAATACTTAAATTTATATATATAAGAATTCATATCTTATATATTTGTGTGGGGTCACTGAACGCGATCCCTACTTCGACTCTTCCCCCCTCCCTTTGGAATCGCCACGCTATGCCTTGCGACGCGAACTCAACGCAGTAGAAGAAAGGCATCGGCACGACCCACATCCACATAATATAGTTTATTCTTATTTTCTTTATTAAATATATTCTTTTTTATTGTATATTTTTTATTATTAATCAAATCAAATAACAATCTATTACTTATGTTATAAAAATGATTTATTAATTAATTCGAAGAATATAATAAAACAGAAAATAGAAATTTATACCATAAGAATAGAAATTTAATATAAAAAGATTGTTATTTGATTTACACCACAGAAAGATTTTAATTAAAAATTGTAATTAAAATTTATATTATATATCTTATGTATAATTTAATAAATATTTTTATAGTTTTAAGTTAAGTTTGTGTGTAATATATAATATGTAATATGTAATATTGTATACTTTATATGTAAATTAACTTTATTATTTAATAAATATATATATTATACATATATTTCTTGTTTATTTTTTATTTTTTTTCCCCCTTTATTTCCTCTTTCCTAATATAACAAAAATCATCAAAAAACTTATCTTAAAAAATAAGTATATTAAATTTTATAATTAGTATTAAGTAAAATGGTGAAAAAATGTTTTTTCTGGAAAAAACCATGTTAAAAAGGTAAGTATGAAAAAGGTAAGTATAAAGGTAGGTATAAATTCGAAAAATTCTGGGCTTGGGAGTTAAAATTTCGGTTTGTTTACAATCATTGGAGTGTTTATTTACATTTTCAATGTTTATTTACATTCTCGGTTTGTTTATTTACATTTTGCAATGT